GGGAGGAAGAAAGAAAACACACACACACAGAGAGAATAATCACATACATTTTTTAGATGCCAGCAGGTCAATTTCATCACTATGCAGGAATGAATGAAGGCTGTGGCTTTATGGGGGGGGGGGTGCCTCCCTGAGCATATAGTATCCAATCAAATCAGGTTTGCCTCTGGGAAAGTGGGGAGCCTTCAAAGCTGTTTGTTGTAGAGTAAGTTCCAGAAGGGAATTTCTGAGGTTTAGCGAAGCAAAGCCAGGAGTCTCCCAGGAGTGCAACTGCTAACGTAAGGTCTTCCAGACTGAACGCTCCACTCTGCAGTGAGCGGTGTCATAAAAGTCACTCGCTTCTCCGAGAGCTAGCAACAGTAGCCAGAGCGCCACTTACCTGTGCAGAATGCCATCAAAAGACAGCTTACACGGAAACACTCCTCATCCAATGACAGTTGTCTCCAAATGGGAAGACAACTGTCTTTATCATATAATTAAGATTCTGCTACTTATCACACCATTCCTAAGCGTATTTGTTCCTAGTGGCTTTGGTAATAAAAAGATGTGACAATAGATGTAACTGCCAAAAGTTAGGCAGGAGATAGGGAAAGGATTTACATAGTAAAATAAATTGATTTGAGGACACACACACACACACACACACACACTCCTCCAATGAATACAGGGCTAGAAAACTTTTTCCACTTTCTTTTTTAAAAAGATTTTATTTTATGCATGTGACTACTTTGTCTGTATGTACACCTTTATTCCAGAAGAGGGTATCAGATACCACCATAGGTGGTTATGGGCAGGGCTAGAAATTTTACTAACTGTGAACCAGTGACTGTAAGTTATGTGTATTACAGTACTGAAAAGATTACATAGAGTTTCCTTGTGTATGGCTTCCCTTTAATACTATCTATTCATTATATTTTCTTCATTGATGATGCAGCAATAAAATTGAACAGTGTAAAAACATACTTAGTATGAAGGCGTGTTTCTATCTGTGTTTAACCTGGCATACTAAACACACTGAATTAAATATAATTGCTTTATTCTACACATCCAAACTGAAACTTTTGGAGGCAAAAGACATTTTCTTGCATAAATGGGTTCTTTATAATTTTCTTTTTTGTCTTTCTGTCATGGTTTCCAGGCTTATCAGACAGACCTACAGAGAGTGTTACCCTTGGGATGCTCCTCTCTTCTACCTGGTGATTCAGGGACCATCCTAAGGACAGTTTCTGTATGAACAAGGGTGGAAAGTACTTTCCCATGTTAAAATGTCAATACGTTGTAGAAGTTTCAGTGCTTGTTCCGTACTTCTTTATCCTGTCTGCTAGTTCTGGGGTGCCATGTACTGGAAAAACCACATTGAAGCTTTAAAATTCGGAATTAACACGAAGGACTCCAGTTTGGATTCTGATTGCTCAGCAACTTTTCGTTCTGATGCATCTAGCTCATGTTTAGGTCTCAATGTTAAATACAATGAATAGTGTGTGCTATTTTAGTGTGTGTAAGGGAAGATACATTTGGGGCTAGGACGGTCACATTAGTTGAATTCCTTGGAGCTGAGAATATAGCTTAGTGGTGGAGCGCATGCTTAGCCCTGGGGTTCAGTTCTCAGGACACAACACACACGGACAGGCAGCCCTTTTGTCGTACACTGGTTTGAAAGGCTACAAATGCCACTACCCTCCTCTGGTTACTGGTTTGCAAAAGCCACATCAGAGGTCTGGAACCTGCTTGATTTTAGATTCATAAAAATTTTCTCATTACAGAAAAAGGATTTTTACTGATTCTGAACTATGAAATAATAAATGCAGGATGCTTTATGTGTTACAGAAATAGTGAATGAAATAAGAGATTAATAATTTGTCTTGATAGTGAATCTAAGAAAAAAGCCCTTCATAATTTTGTCAATTTACAAGGGATTATATAATGAACCTTCAATCTATACCACCCAAGGGATGCAGATTATAGTACTTTAATGTGTGTGTGTGTGTGTGTGCATGCACACACACGTGCAGCATATTCATGTGTACAAGTGGCTGTGGCCACGCACGTGGAGGCCGGAGGTCAGCTTTGGGTGTTGCTCCTCAGAAGCAGTCTGCCTTGTTTTCTGAGCCCGGCCTTGCACTGGGAGTCAGACTTGCTGCTCTGGCTAAGGTGCCCCAGGGATCTGCCTGCCTCTGCCTCTCCAGAGCTGGCATTACAAGCTCAAGCCATCACACCTTGACTGACAGGTGGGTCCTGGAGATCTGACTCTGGTCCTCAAGCCTGTGCAGCATGGACTGCTTACTGCGCCACCTCAGACCCCAGCCCCTTCAGTCTCTATTAAACACTGTACTATTTTTACAATAGAGAAAGGGATTAATATTGCTCATATTAGAAAGAAGAGTAGTGGTGGGTGGTGGTGGCACTCACTTTTAATCCCAGCCTTAGGGGAGGCAGAGGCAAGTGGGTCTCTGAGTCTGAGGCAGGCTGGTCTACAGAGAGTTCCAGAGCTGGCTGAGACAGAAACACTTTGTCTCAAAACAAACAAACAAACAAAGATTAAATCTGAACTTTCTATATTTTTGTCAACTTTCTCATTTTACTGGTACAAATACTATTGTTCTGGGAGTTCTATTTATTAAACTTTCAAATGTCAGGTTGGCATGTTTGCTATACAGTGACTCTCTTCCATTTTCAATTTAATTTGTAGGAGGGAGCTCAAGAGAACTGCAGTTCCCTGAAGTCCCCACTCTAATCTGGAAGTAGCTGGCCAATACTAACACTCAATTGGACAGCCATGCCAGTAATTTCATAATTGCTTTCATGTTATTTTTGGTGTATTAAGAAGCAAAATTATTACCTAATCATAATAGTTTCTGATAGGAAAGCCATATAGTGGACTTGGAAATAAGAATTCGTATGAGTAAATGAGGGTCCCTCTCCTTGAATGGGAAAGGAATACGATCCGAAGCACAGGTCTGTTTAAAAGCCATCTGTCTGTAAAATGTCTGAGCGACTGCTTCTGGCTATCAGTTCCGCAGTTTTAATCCTCTGAAGAGCAGCAGGCTGCTTCAAGAGGCAACACAGACACTTTGAACACTTCAATAAACACAATGTAAACATTCACTTTAATGATGTTTCCTTTGTCAAGCCCCACCAGTGTGTGCTCCCCTGGCCTCTGGCTGAGCCAGGGCCGGCAGAGCACTGGAAGAATTTCCAATAGCCATCTGCCTGTTCTAATTTGCTTTTCAAGGTTGACGATCAGAATCATTTCACTGCTTGCAAAAAGAAGTCTGTTTCTATGAAGCTGATCAAATCACTTCTCTTGTTCTCGTATTTAGCTCCCTCAGCAGCCTCGCTAAGTTAGCTGAACCCGCCGCCGCCAGTGGCACGCAGCTCTAAAGGGGCACAGATGAACGATGTCTCAGAGACGAATCTGCTATGCCCAAAAGAAAGTACACTAAAGCGAGGGACGTATCTATTCCGCATGGGGTTCATATATTCTACTCCTCAGAGGGGAAGATGTTGCCTTCGCCTGAAAATACTCTTATTTGGAAACCTATAGAATAACAATACCAAAGCAAGGTCTACTAGAGCCTTTTAAACGCTTGACCCTTAACACAACATCACCAGATTACTTGTGGAATTTTAATCTTTTCACTCATGTAATTATTTATTATTTAAAAGTTGTAAATTTTAGAATTCATGTAATTTTGCTTGACACAAACTGAAAAAGCAGGGCTTGCTATTTCAAATGTATAGGTTTTAAAAAAGATCAATGGGAAAATGAAGCTACTCTCAAAATTTTGAATAAGTTTAAATATATTTAAATACTCTTCATATTTTCTTTCAGTGAGGAAATGTGTGCTACTGTAGGTCCAACAACTGAAGAGCCTTGGATAAGATTCTGGAAATTCCACTGATATGACATTCCCTGTACTAAACTCAAGATTAAAACTAGCAGAGAAGGAAATCCCCAATTTTGTCACTGACAATAAACTCTTAACGAAACAAATGGGATTGCTTTTTTTTTTTTTGGAGATTTGAAGTAAGCAGTTGTTACTTTTTGAACAGGGAAAAACCAGTTTTACGTTATAGTCTTATAATATCTCCTAATAACCTGCAGAGGGCGCTCAAGTCCCTTGAAGAAAAGGTAAAAAAATTTAAGGTGGATAGACAATTTTTAATTTTTAAAATTATCATTACTAGTATTTATCAAAAATAATTTTTTTAAAAAACGGAAACCATCTAAAAAGGGCATTTAAAGAGAACACACAGTTAGCAGATTTTTAGCTCCCATAGGAAACCCATCTTTCCATTCTTGGGCATTTGGCCGTCCTCTGTTGGGGCTAGATCATCAAACACTAACACACACGGATGCCAGTCACACAAAGTATCCAGGCAGGACTTAGGAAAAACCTAGACCTCAGTATCATGCTTACAGGGCGGCTGGTCCAAGCTACCTTTGTTAGGCCGTGTGTTACATGTGTAAAACAGGCGGTGAAGAAAAACGAAAGCCAGAAGTTCTTTAAGGTTCTTAACCGCTTTCGAAGACAAATCTCATGGGACCCTTCATAATGTACATTTTAACAAATCTCTCCAATATCGAGAACTAATGTTGTCTGTAGCTATCTGAATAGACGACGCCACAATATTCTTCCGGAAACCATGCGGACTTGTCTACGCGGACATGGAACCCACTGAAGCAGCCAATGCCTATGTTGTGTATGCGTATATTCCTTGTGGCTTATTTTACACGACAGTGAATACCTTGATAACTCCCTATTTACTACATGGAGCTATTAACTACTGAGCACACGAGTTTCTTAGCGACGTAACCGTGGAAACTCACCCTTTAACACCAGCTTTACATTGTTATTCTCATCTCCCAAAGCAGTTGAAAATTGATGATAAAATTTAGAATTACAGGAGGCCAGTGTGTCACAAATTTACGTATGCATTTGAGTTGTTTTGATTTATAAATTAAGTACAAAGGTTTGAATAAAAAAAACCATACAAAATGATTTAAACAGTAGCTTTTATTGTAGATTACTACAGGATAATGAGCAACTATATAACATTTAAAGGTTTTGTCTTATTTATAAAGTTAGTCATTAATAACAACAATAATTAAAAACAAAATTTGTTACAAATTATTGTGTAATATTATGTATCTATATTTTATAGGTTTTGAAGGATATTTAAGGAATAATTTGACATCTAGAAAAATACTAATACTGATAATCGTTTTAAAAAAGTGAATTCTGTGAAAATAGCATGAAACACATCTGAATTACTGCACAGACTATTTCAAAGTTTAAGTATATGGGGGAAAAGATAAAGCAAAAGGCAGAAGACACTTAAGAGAATGACTTACTTTGGCAATGATACCACTTAGGGAAAATGAATGCAGTTATTTTAATGAGAACATAAGGCTCCACCTCCTCAAGAAGAGAAAAGCTAACAAGATTGCGTGCCGCTTGTCTCCCTTGCTGTAGGGAGCAGTGCATATTTCAGTAGTGCCGGGGATGGCTGGGGCGATCCCATGAAACACAAGAGTTTTCTCAGCATAACTGCAGCCACACCTTTGATTCTTGGCTTATCTAGGGGCAGTGAGAATGCACTCTTGCACATGAGACAAAAAAGTTGTACTTGGAATGTAGTCTTTGTTTTTACTCTCTTCAAAGCCTGTGATTCCTAATATCATTGTTCCGCAGAGCAAAAAAAAAAAAAGTTTGTTCTCTTACATAAGAAATAAACTTCATTTGGTATTCAATTGACTTTGTAACTTAGCAGACAGGACTTTGCATCTTCAAAAACTGGGAATAAATTGCATTCTTGGCCCTTGCTTTGAAAGGTTATGGAGAATAAACGCATGGGCTGGTCGTGTTCTAGTGATCTCCCTAATCTCGGCTGCACTTTGTCAGAAAGAGGTAACTGGTAGTTAAGTGAAATACCCTAGATCAAAGGGGGATTAATCAGCGACTGAATCCTTGCTGAATCAACCTGTCATTCAAGAAAATTATTTCCACAGAACTTAGCAGAGGATTGGAGGTATTTGCATAACAGCAACCAACATACTCCAGCCAGGTTAAAAGGTTCAGAATTCATCCCGTGTTTAGCTTTTTGCCTCTCTTTCCTTTCAGCAGCGGGGTACAATGGCTTCTAATCTGATCATACAGCTGACTATCCAGCAAACGGGACAGGAAAGTATTGCCAAGTTTGCATGAGGGATGGATCAATTTCACTTTCAGCAACTCCTAAATCTGATTTGTTGGAATTTAAGATGTAATCCTAAAAAGTCCCTTAAACCTGAGGACTGTTTATTAACATCCCTTTTTTGACCTTTGTCTCCGCAACAAGTCCTCTGCTAGGGCAGCAAGCCCTGGGGAGGAACTCCACCTACAACCTCCCACTGGCACTGGAGGAATCTATGTGGGCCTCTTAAGGTTTTTTGTTTTTCTTCTTCTTCTTTTTTTTAAATATTGTAACAAGAAACAGGAAAAAAAAAAAAAAAACCAGCAATGGTTACTATGTGCAAAATGTCTTTGTTAAACACAGCACATGAAATCTAAGACCACAATATTGCAACAGTAGAAATACTGAGATGGCAAGAAAAAAAAAGACTTTGAGATGGGCTAATGGTACATTCCCAGTTAGCAGGGTCAATTGTTTAACAGTGTAAGACATTCCCACTGTCGAGTACTACATCCTGAGCCTTACAATGTTGCTTAGTACATAAATGGAGAACAGGTTTTACCCAAATCAGGACCCATCTTTTCTAGAGTTCATTCGCAGATATTTAAAACTTTCTTTAACCCTTTGGGTTGAGTAAGAGTAACTACAGCATAGATATCAGATTTCATAATCATATTTTGACACTAAAAGGGAATTTAGCAACATGGTATCTAGAGCAGGTCTAACCCCGTCCAAATCTGTCACTGGAAGTCGATGCTCATATTCACTGCAAATGCAAAGCACCTTTCAAGTTAAAAAAAAATTGCAAAGAATAGCTATCAAAGAAAATGAATAAAATCCATAGTGAGATAATTTTTTAGAAAATGATTGAAGTTCTAACCAAAGAAAGGACTCTGAGAGTGTCTTATAGCTTAGAATAAGAACATGTCAATCACAGTTAAGCTTCTGGAATCGGAATCCCTTTGAAATGCAGCTGTTTCTTCTTTAATTGTGGCAGTGGACTCTGAAGAAAAGAAAGGTCCAGCCTTAAAGATGAGTAAGGAATACAAAATAGCTCAGGATTAGCTGTGGAGTTCAAAGGTCGCTAATTACACTAAGGAGCTCCCAGACACAGGGAAAACATTAAACAGGTCACCTACCAAACCGGGAACAAGCTTTGTCTTCAGAAATTATCCTGAAGTGACAGGTTTCTAGACAAAATCAAAAGCATCAGTGTGCCCAGCTGATCTCAATGGGATGAAATGTGGGCTGGCTTTTAGCTCCCTAGTGTTGTCAGAACGGAACCGCAACAGATGGCATTGCTTCCCTGTCACCCCCATGCTTTTCTAGGAACCCCTAGATTTTCCCTAGGTTTCTAGAAATGTCAAATTAGAGGTCACTGGTTTATCTAATTTGTTTATGAAGAGAGTTTGCCTCAGGGATTATATATTGAATTTTTCCAGATGAATGTGTCCTGTCTACCTTAGAACAATTTGCTAAGCATTTGTACAGTTACAATTTCCAAAGGGCTACCCTAATAACTTAAAGTACCATGTTACACTTTGAGTTGAGGAGTGATAGAAACCACAGAACTGTTTTCTTTCACTGCTGACTTCCTTTGGGTGAGCCGGGACAGCAAGTTACCGTCCTGGTCTGGCAATTACCCTCTTCTTACTTAGGATGACTGTGAAAACAGACCTTGAGGCTGTGAGAAGCTCTGCAGGCAAAGAGGGTTTATAATGAGTAGGAATGACCCTAATTGAAAATGTATTTCAAGTCCTAGTTTATACACACTTCCTCCTTAATGGTTTTAACTCTTCTCTGAACAATCAGCAGCTTTCTCTAAGCCCTTTTTAGAAGACTCATTTTTAAAAAAGACAACAAAGAAATAGAACTCAGGATAAATCCAATTAAATATTAGTATGTCACTAATTTCTTTGAGGGGGAGGTCAGGCTTCAGTTGACATCAGTTAAGTTTTCATGATCTTTAATTTTTTTTTTTGCCACTTAATATTCAGCTTGGCGACAGACAGTACATGGCTCTGAAGCAGAACATGAAGCGAGATGGTGGAAATGGGTAGAGGGTAAAGAACACGGTAGGTGGTTTCGAAGGAATCAAGAAAATGGTAGAGAAAATGACAGGGACAGACTTAAGAAAAATATGCTACATTACATTAGTGTAAATGATTTTTTACCCATGAAAGGGCTTTTGAGTTTACCTGAGTTCATTTGTTAACAGACTTTAATTTAAAAAAAAAAAAAGAGTATAATAGCTAGAATTATTTTTAAAACCTTGTCCAAGGACACTGAATAATCACAGGCCTCTGTGCTCTTCTTCTGAAGTACTGCAGCCTGGTTGCCTGGTACCCTAAACACGTCATTCAGGCAGATTACTAAGTTAGTTAAAGGAGCCTGAGAGGGGTTATTATTGGGTTACCATCATAGTTCAGCTGGGAGGGGGCTTGCCTGGCATGCATGAAGCTGAATTTGCTCCCTAGAAGCGGAGAACAAACCGGACATGGTGATACACCACTGAAATCCCAGCACTCGAGAGGGATTCAGGGTCATCCTCAGCTGCACAGTGACCCTGCCCAGAAGAGTAGCTCAAGAACACTGAACAGTTATGCAGGTTCTTTATTGGCCAGGAGGAGGGATGTGAAGAGCAGCTTATTATTTGAGCAGTATCTCCGTGTTTCGTGATTATTTAACCAGATCGTGGCCATTCTGAAATAGCATGCTGCTTGCTGAGGTTTGGATAAGCACGGTTTCCTTGTAGGTCCCTACAACCCACAGGACAGCTGCCTGAGACTGTGCTGGGGAAGGCTGAGCTCTTACTTAAGGAAAGGACTCTGACTGATTAGCACAGCCTGTCCCACAGGAGGCCACGGCTGGGCCTGTCCTGGCTGGGCCTGCGCCTGGAGGCCTGCCACAGTTCTAGGAAGGAACATATGGCATGGACACCAAGACTGGTCTTGAGTCAAAATGAATCACTACTTTCATATGTCCTGAGTCACACTGGCATGAAATCAGAGGGCAACAAAGAAAGGAAGACATTAGCCTTGAATAAATTTTTTCACACTGTATCAGACTAAAGACATCAGATATAAATGTTTGGATAAAGAAATCATTCAGTGATTTTTCAGTCACAGGTTATATGAATACATGTAAGAAATAAAAATAATATGATTCTACTACAGAATGTTACATCACATAAATCCCATTTGAAGAAATAAATAAATCCCATGAGAAAATCATGGCAACAACGACGCATATGTTACTGGAGCAGGAGCTTCAGAATTCCAGATGTAATAGTCAGAAGAAATTAGTTTCCGATCTACAAAAGGAAAAATAAAGGAAATGATAAAAATGTTTAATCTTAGCAAAAACCCGGCAAGAGAATGAAGCTATCAGTTTTTGATAGCTTGTGGAGTATAGCCATGTCATGATAATAACTTTGAAGTATTCTATTTATTTTACCCTATTGAGGATTTATTACAACTTAGACCCCATTAAAATGAACTCATAAATATTTGGGCAGACCACATTATATGAAATCTCTTATTTATACCAAATGTTTATTTTCCCTACATTGCTAGTTGATTTTCTAATGAACCACTGCTTTTCTTGGTTTTCCTTCTATGACCTCTACCAGGTTCCGAATTCTAGTCAAGGCATTCATTACTGCAATCAAAGAGCTGGAGACACAAATCATCACCACTTCCCCACAGCACTTTCAGGAGGCTGCTTTCCTGTTTCTTCTGGTTTGGCTCCAATCTAAGCATTGTGCGGTCACAGTTTTGCACTCTGGACAAATGGTAACCTCCTTGCACCAAAGTTTTCTAAGTAATAAAACTGATGAAGTTATGCCACTTGGAATACACACATTCTTACTATTTGCATCACTGACTATAACCCAGCCTTTTCTGCCTTGCTTCATGCCCTTCAGCACGAACTCCATAGAGTCACGCCACCTTTCCTGTTCCCGCTTCAGCAATACTGGGAGGCGGCACAGCACACTGTTCAGAGGACAGGCTCCAGTGGCCAACTGCCCGTGTCTGAATCTCAGCCATGTCCTTTACTTCACATGGCCTCTGTTCCACCAGTGTCCCCAGCCATAACACAGGGATACCAGCACATAAAGTGCTGTGAGGCTTAATGAGTTAACGTCCATAAAACACATAGAAATTATATCTGGAACATAGCTGGTGAAAAACGCTACTATGAGGTAGGAGGATCTCTGTGAGTTCGAGACCAGCATGGTCTACAGAGCTAGTTCCAGGACAGGCTCCAAAGGCACAGAGAAACCCTGTCTCGAAAAACCAAAAAAAAAAAAAAAAAAAAAAAAAAATAAACATTTTTACTAAACTATTTGCAGAGCCACACTGTATACTCAGTACAAGGCAAAATGAAAGTGTGAAGGAATAAAGGGCTAGGTACGGTGACTCATTTGAAATGAATTCTCACATTCAATATTCTTTATAGAAAGGGCAAATAAAAGCTGTGCATTGGTGGCATGCATCTATAATCCTAGGACTTGGGAATCTGAGGCAAGAAGATGGTGAGCGGGAGGCCATACTGGGCTATAGAGTTGAGACCTTATCTCAATAAAGAAATAAAAATAGATATATTACTGATGTATTAAAGAACACGTATATTATAGAAACCTATTCTTTATTATGGTTTCTGAAAATTGTGTTTAGTTAATATTAAACATATTTTAGTTATTATCTAAAGAGATAACATTTTTCATAGAAGATGAAAAATATGCATCTCTCTTTAGACACAATGATGACTGTTTAATATTATACTTTCATAAAAGAGCATATACACTATAGACATGCCTTCATCAGTTCACCTAAAAGCAGCAAAGACTGCTAGAGGAGAAAACACAGCGACAACACGGAGGTAGGAATACTGGCCCATCTGACTCCACTACACAGAGTTACTGCCGTTTATAGAAATTGTCTAGGTTCTGTAATACAGTTTTCTAGTTCTTCTAAAGCATTCAGGCACAAAGTCTTCCAATGTTTAGGAACCTAAGTCTGAGGCTAGACAAGCTCGAGGCCTTGAGTTGTATCCCAAGTACTGCCCAAACAAACTAAACAAATGTCCCTAAATATAGGAACTTTTATAAATTGGATTATTCCTAGCTAGATATATAACCTGACATTCTTACCCCTACCTTTACCGAGTTACTTCAGTCTACTTACTTTTATATGCCACCTGTATGTACTTAAGCTAAATTGAATAATTTTAAGTTTTGCTTTTTACCTCCTGATATATTCCTCTAAAAAAATATATACATATTTTCACATACAGCATATATATGTAAATGTATATGCATCTTACAACCAATACAATCAACGAAGGCAGGAAATCATCTTTCTATTGCTTGTCCTTTGGTATGTTGGAGAAGGTGCTAAATGATGTTTAGTGGCTATGGCATTTATTAAGAATAATTAAATTTTAAAATATAATCTATTCGCAAAAATTATAAGGTATATAATACTGTCATTTTTACTTCATTAACTTTTTTATTACATTCAAAGAAACCTAGCAATGTGGTGTTGTGTGCACGCGTGCCCAGGACAGCATGTGGTGTGTGTGCACGCGTGCCCAGGACAGCATGTGGTGTGTGTGCACGCGTGCCCAGGACAGCATGTGGTGTGTGTGCATGCGTGCCCAGGACAGCATGTGGTGTGTGTGCACGCGTGCCCAGGACAACTTTCAGAGTCAGTTCTCTTCCACTGGGGTCCCACGGCTAGAACTCAGGCCATCAGGCCTGACAACAGTGTCTTTATCCATCTGGCCACTACTGTGGAGCGCAGTCCAAGCATGGAGTTCTGTGATGGGGATTCTGAGTGCTTGTGAGGAAAACTCCAAGAAAACAGAATAAAAGTCTTGTGACCTCAGTTTCTTCAGAGAGATGGAATTGTTCTTGGCTTGTGCTTTCCTGTCACTCCCAGGGGAAGCAGATAGGAGTGGGTTTAACTCTGAGTCTTTATTACTGGTTATTGCTACAGTTTATATACTACTATGTGGCTTGCCCTTGAGACTGGACACTATGCTCAGGTGACTCCTCCTAGCCCTCAGAGTGTATACTGTCTGACGCTCTGAATAGAGTGGGCCCCTTGTTTTTAGGCTCCTATCCAGGCCCACTGCCTTCAGAGCACTAAACAGTTCCCTCTAACTTCTCCTTTAGAAATGGGGACACTAAAACTTAAGACGTTCAGCAGCTTTTCCAAAGTTACATACATTGGAGTCAGATGGGAGTTTAATATAACCAGAGCAAATCCACATATATGCTATATACTAAAGCCACACCAACGGGGCCTGCTCATCCAGACTGTTTTTATTGTTTTTTTTCTTGCTACGATATTTTTATTATAATTTAAATACTTCTTTAATAGTCCTTTCTCTGAATGCACATTCTGAGGTACAGTATGTTGAGTTTTTTTTTAATTGAGAAAAGGAAAAAAAAAGTTTCCGCCTCCTCCCAGCCTCCCATTTCCCTCCCCCTCCTCCCACCCTTCTCCCCTGCCCCCCACTCCTCTCCCCTTCCATCTCCAGTCCAAAGAGCCCAGACTGTTTTTAAACACAAGTCAGAAGACAACATAAAGTTCACCAAAAGTTATGTGGGAAGGAATCAAGCCAAAGAAATATTTATAAAATCCCAATCTCCAAGTCTCATTGCATTTTAATTTTGCTGTAAGTAGTGACAACACAGTACCATTTTAATCCTGCTTAGTTTGAACCTGTACAACTTACACGCACTTATTTTTGGTTTTCCTGATGCAAAAACTTGAACTGAATGCTGATCGGCATAACATCCAGTGAGTGTATAATCTGAGATCCTAAAATGAAGCTAGGGAAATGAGAGAGAGAGTCAGTTGAGGCGATTATTTGCTAAGACCCAAATACTAAAGTACAGTTGTGAAAACACATAATAAATGTGTGCATACTGCTTTGTACTAGTTCCATTTCTTTGTAAGTGCTTAACTCATCCAGTGCTCCATTAACGTGAACCCTGGTGCACACAGGGAAGTAGTTAGTACTCAGTATGTGCAGCAGACCGTGTATCAGAACTCAGAACTGCTCCTGCTCCTGCTGTACTTCTGATAGAGCTATATATAGTCTTTTCTCCCTAGCAGGCTATCTGTGATCAATTCAGATCACATTCTTTGTTCAGTTAATTAATTTTACGTGTATAGATGTTTTGCCAGCATGCACATCTGTGTATGATGCCCTCAGAGGCCAGAAGAGGGCAGGGACAATGTGGGTTCTGGGAATTGAATCTGAGTCCTCTGGGAGAGCAGCAGCAGCCAGTGCTCTTAATCACTGAGCCATCTCTCCAGCCCCAACCACATTTACAGTATATGTAAGATGTGTATGCTTTTTAATTAAGCACACAAATGCAATCATGACAAGAAGAGATACCAGCTTATCTCATGCTTGGGGAAATGGCATGCTCTGCCTCATTTTTCTGATAACCAAAATCTCTTACAGAACTGTTATCAAGTTATTCCTTTCCTCATCTAGAAAACTTTCTAAAATGTAAGCCACAGCTCTTGGATCCCATCGGTGATGTACGGTTATCACTGTGAATGCTAGCACCACACTGGGCTGTAAAGATGAGGAGTTAACGCCTTTCTAGGCTCCTTGGGCTGTGGTTCTCATTTGTGTTGGTAAACACCTCATTTGCCAAGATCCTGCTATCTTTTCAACACCACCCCCTACACTAAATCAGGGGCCTTGTACGTTTCCGGCAAGCCCTCCATCTCTGCGTTACATACCAAGCCATATACTTTTTTTTCTCCTCTTTTCTCTGCAAATTTCTCCAATTTTATATGTGTGCATGTGTGTATAATATTTTTCAGATTTTAAAAATCTCTTTCTTACAGCAATTCACATAATAGGAAAGCAAAGAGCTTGTGCTGCATTAGTGTTTTACTCTCGGTGTTAGAAGCTATGCAGACGAGGTCCATTCCATATTGATTATATGCATTTGTTATATGCTTTTCATCAGACTGGAACTGGTTAAATGAAAGAAATGAGCAAGAAAATTCTAAAAAACAGCCCTTGCCATACACAATGTAGTAACATTCTGTATTTTTTTTTCTGAAAAAAAAAAATCAAAAATTTAAATAATAAGCCTTAAAACAGGATAGTAGGCGAAGTCAAAGCCCACACAGAAAAATATAAATTCTTAGCAGTGTATTCTCACCCTCACTACTGCTGATTTTATAGATAGTTATTTATCTTTCATCTTTGATTTCTCTGATGGCATTCTCCTTCCCCATAAACTTTCTGGTTATTCCTTCAATTTTCCTTACTGATTCTTCTGAATCTTTCCTTATTTTCTTTTATTTATATGATCCTATTCATTTTCTTGTATCAACTTTCTCTTTTCAATGGGTACTCCTAAATCCTTATTATACGGTGGATCTTCATGTGAATCAAATTTTAGGGTTTTAGCTATCTGTTGCACATTTACATTAAGGTATGTTGCTATCACCAGGTATACATACATATGTACGTACGTACATACATGCATATTCAACAAATACCTATGTGCTAGGCCCTGGACTAGATGTTGAGGATCAAACAGAGAATGAGTAAGAGTTATACAGTCTTTGTCATCATGCACTTTGCTTGAATCCATTGCAGATTAACACCCATAAACGAATCTTTCTCAGAAACTGAAACATCTAGCAAAGGTTGAGGCTATCCAGGCTCTCTCTATTCCAACCTGATCTTCCTATCACCTGCCCTTCCTATGGAGAACTCACATTCCTAGCACTGGCTTCTGAAACCGTGTTCACCTCCTTTCACTCTCTAAGTCATTTTAAAAAATACTTACTATGTTTATGCGGCATGCGCACTATGTGCTGTTGTGTGTAAGCACAGGCACTTACATGCCATGTGTGGATGGAGATGGCCGAGGACAATGTTTGAGAGCTGGCTCTTTCCACTCTCAATTCCAGGGACTGAACTTAGGTAGAGCTTTGACCCACTGGGCCATGTTGGCCCTAACCCATTGTTCAGATGAAGATATTAGTCAGCCTTCATGCTCACATCGTCCTCAGAGTTTGCTTTGGCCAGAAGGACTCACGCTTGCTCCAAGACACCTAAAGCAGTTAGTACTGATCAGTCACTAATCTGTACTATTGAAAACTATTGAAATCAAGGGCTGCATCTTAGTTTTGAACATAAATCTAATTTGATCACTAAGAGTTAGGTAGCTTAAATTAGAGTGTTTAGGCTATTCTTAACTACTTTCCTTAAAATTTGGGCATTTGGTGAAACAGGAAAACTACTACTGGCCATGGTGACTCATGTTTGTCCGAGCATTTAGGAGAGGTTGAGGCAGGAGGCTCATAAGCTTAAAGCCAACTAGTCTTACACAGGGATTTGGAGAGCAGTTTGGCCTAAGGCAGATATCCTGTTCCCCCCAACAAATGTTTCTAAGAAGGAACTTAGCTACACAAAAAGTGCTAGGAAACACTAAGGCTCAAATACATGTGCAGCTTAGAACTAAATGAGGGTTTCTGATGCAGTGTTCCATGTGCTTACCTTTACATATGCTGTATTTCCAATGCAAATGTGATCAAATGGCTGCTTGTTATGGCCCTTGGCGCCAAACGTTAGAGTTCCAGAAAGACTAATTTCCATTGATTTGGGGAACTTCTGGCCTAAAACACAAATGTATCAATCAATTATTCTAAAACAGAAAATTCTACAGCAAATGAGAAAAAAAAATCAATAGACAAAACCTTGCTCACCAATAATCCAGACCAATAAACTTTTTTCTCGATATACTTCAAGTTGACCGAAACTAACTTTGTATTCCAAATGGGTAATCGGACCTCTTTAAGAAAAAGAGAGAAGGAGAAAGAGAGAGAGAGAGAGAGAACATAGAAAAAAAAACCCTTAGATATAAGTTTTAAAGTTGATGATTCAAATCTTGCTACTGTTATTTACATTATAAAAGCAGATCTATACTCCAACTGCAGAACAAAAAATGAATACAGATCTTAGAGAACAGCAGAAATCACATAAACATTTACAGTAACTATATATCACATTAGTATTCCTTAGAGACAATTATAAAATCATATAGCTTATATTCATATCACATGCATTGGTAGATTAAAATTATGATTTTACTAATTAAGTACACTTTGTAAAGAGCTACACTGCTGAACACATTTTAAAGCAGAACTGACCTCTGCTCTAACTGGCTAAGTCACCAGGCTGTTGATGGTTAAGACTGATTTCCATAGACCAGAGACACTGATAGAAGTCAAGTCAGTGGCACAGTGGTCCTTGAGGAAGTTACACTGACTTAAGTTTGGAATTTATTTGCAAGTTTAAATGGAAAAAATTGAGGCATCATCTAAAGGTAAATAGACTCTTTTCATGATTACATTTTAGTTCAGAATCAGTACTCATTTGAGTAACAAAATTACTTAGCTTTTAAAAATATGGTAAATGAAGAAGACACTTTATTGTGGGACAGAAATACATCAGAGGACAGCAATCATGGCGCCATATTACTTGTCCCTACCTGTTGTAAAAAGGTATATGAGCCTCACAGATTTCAAAATTATTTTTTACACTTTCATGAAGTTTTAAATTAACTGTTATTTTCAGTTGTACTTCTTCTTCTTTCATGTGATAAGAACCCAATATTGGTGGGACAGGGACCTGAAAACAGACACAACTCTTAGTATAATTCTCATGCTAATGAGTCTAAGATACAAATGGTGACAGGAAAAAAAAGCCCTGTAGTAATATATTTATTAGCTATACATACATATTATAAATACATAAAGTTTTATAAAACTTTATAAATCTGTATATATTTATCATGTAGGCATGGCTTTAATGCTAGAGGGCTGTTCTACATTGCTTCCACAACAGCCTTGTTGGTCTCCATCTGTCCTGAGAGCAGATTCCCTTCCTCTCTGAACAGAGACCAGAAAGGCACCTTACAGAACACACTTGCTCCTACTCTTGCTCTTCCGTGTTCTCAGACCTCAGCACAGGTCGTCTCTACACACACGGCTCTGCCCACAGTTCAAACGCTCCCTTCCTGTCCTGTGACTGTTTCTCCTCTCCAGCCCCCAGCTCAGCAATAGCTTAGCTGGGCATTAATGACTGACTGAAGAGGAAACTGCCTGTATGCCGCTGTGAGCGAGACATCTTATTGGTACATTTATACAAGACACAGGGAAGTCTCTCTTTTATGTAGGTAGAGCATGTGCGAGCAGACCCAAAAGACAGGGAACACTGGGAAGGAGAGGCGAGACAAGGGAGACTGTCGTAGCTTTGCTTATAAGTCTCAGGTAGCCCACATCTATTTCTTGAATGATAATGAGAATCCCTCAAGATAAATTTCTTCTAGTCAATCTGTCTGGAGCAGGGTTTTCGAATCTAACTGGCTGATAATTGGAAATAGAGACAATTGACACAACATAGTAAAAACATGTCAGGCTTTGGGAATTTGGAAGACCTGGGTTCAAACCCAGGCTCTGCCACTTATCAGCCATTTAAATTCTCTAAGACTCTCACAATCTATAAAACGGACACAATACCATCTACTTTAAGGTTTGTTGGAATCACTAGAGAAAAAGACGCAAGTGCCTAGGACAGTGACACACAGCGCACACAGTGAGCACAAACAGCTACAAATACCCCATGTTTGCTTAGCTAAGACTGCCTGCCTGTTATTTCGTGTTTGCATTTAAAACCATGACTAAATCACATCAGGGTCCATCCTGTGATCTGGGATTCTTAGTTAAAGATGAAAAAAAAAAAACTTCACTGACTGTGAAAGTTAATGCTGTTATAGACATTAGAGATAAGAGGTAGCCTATTCAAAGACGTGAACTTTTATCTTATCCACCCCTCCCTGTCCTGTAAATAACTCATGAAAAGTTTCCATCCAGGAGCATTCACCAGTGTGTCAGCAGAGTCTCAACTGTGCCAAGGTGATTTACCAGAGAAGTGTAGTGGCATAAGCTGAATGACTCCAAAGGCGGAGAGAACGGGAACTTATAAGGCCCACTAAACGCAGAATCGTCCATTGTATCAATGCTACTAGCGGTCAGAATGGCTGAATCAAGAGAAGTCACGCAAGGATGAACGATAATATCTTGAAGTGGAGATCCATTGGTGGGGAGATTCAAGCTGATGGTAACATTTGGCATGATTCCTTCCAAGTCACACTGGAATGCAAGCAGAAACAAGAATGACCAAGGTCTTTCAGCAGTGCAGCTTACCTGAGGCTTTTCTGAATTCAAGTCACTTCTCCCAATGTATCTTTTCCCTATGCATTATTCTCTTTGCTCTGTTTTCTGATTAGCAATTTGATAGTTAGCCAAGCCAGTCGTCAGAGAGTCTTCACTGACCCCTTGGCTCTCCTTTAAGCCCCTATTAACAGCTAGTTCAAATCTACTGGTTTCTCTCAGGACCCTGGCAACCAGGCCCTTACAATGTTACTGTTTACTAGCTCAATCTGACTTGTTTTCCTCTAGTCCAGTGGTTCTCAAACTGTGGGACATGACACCCTTGGGGGCTGAACAACCGTTTTACAGGGGTCGTACATATCAGATCCAATGAATACAATTCATAATAGTAGCAAAATTAGTGAAGTAGCAATGGGAACTATGGTTGCAGGAGACGGGGCACCACAGGAACTGTATGAAAGGGTGGCACACAGCATTAGGAAGTTTGAGAAGCACTGCTCGAGCCCTCCAGCCACACTGACTCCAGACTCAGACATTTCAATGGCTCCTCTTTCACTTTTATGCCTCCCATCATTTGGTTCCCATCTAACTCTAGTGTTCTATCCCTTAATTACATTGCAAACATATAGAAATTCGGCATTCTTTCTGAATAAACCATACCATCTTGTCCTTCCATGTGCACCTACACCCGCTGGTCCTTGCCAGCGTGCTTTCTCCCGATATAGTCAGGAGCCATCACTTTCAGGGGAAAGGCACTTTCAGGCAAGCTTGACAGTCTGAGTTTGATCCCCAGGACCCACATGGTAGAAGGAGAGGACCAACTCCCCCAAATTGTCCTCTGACCTCTACATGCATGCCGAGACATGTGTACCCACACACAATTAAAGGTTTAAAAGAAAGCCTTGCTTTCTTTGTGCCTAGCTCATTTTGATTGTGTAAGCCTTGCACTGCACCACCTAACAGTCTGCTTCAGCATGGAGACACTGGGTCTTCTTCCTATGTGACTGAGTTGGCTTGCCCATGGTAGGGTAACCATGAAAGATTTCATTATCCTTGGGAGGTCAGGGAAGGCAGGGAAGCCGGCTCCATAGGTCTTTTCATGAGCTTCTATGTTATGACTACCAGGGCCAGATGATAGAGTAGTTTTATAGCCCTCTCCTTAAATCCCAAATGATAGAGCACTTTCCCAGCCCTCTCCTTAAATCCCAGATGATAGAGCACTCTCCCAGCCCTCCTTAAATCCCAGATGACAGAGCACTCTCCCAGCCCTCTCCTTAAATCCCAGATGATAGAGCACTCCCCCAGCCCTCTCCTTAAATCCCAGATGATAGAGCACTTTCCCAGCCCTCTCCTTAAATCCCAGATGGTAGAGCACTCCCCCAGCCCTCTCCTTAAATCCCAGATGATAGAGCACTCCCCCAGCCCTCTCCTTAAATCCCAGCTTTGAGGTTCAACAAACTGACACGCAGTTCTCTGTGAACTCCTCTACCGAGTCCAGTCTCCAGAATGAAGTCTTGACTGACTTGTTTCTATAATCAAAAGAAAAGATTTATTCCCTAGCTCCTCTGGTACTTGAGTCTCAATGTCTTTACTTCATAAGCCTACACCAACACACCTTACTTTTGTGTGTATAAATGTGGGTGTGGGGAGAGGGTGTACTAGGGGCCTTCCTTGAACCTTAATTCTAACTTGACATTTACTTCTTATTTTAGTTTAAATTATGTCTATGTGTGGATATGTACAATGAGTACTGTGTCTGTGGAAGCCAGAATCAGAAGACAATGGACCCATTGGAGCTGGAGTTACAAGCAGTTAGCTGTTTAACTGCCTGGTGTGGGCACTGAGAACCAGACCTGGGTTCTCTGCAAGAGCAGTAAGTACTCCTATTTGCTGAGCCATCCCTCCAGCCCTTATTCAGTTTGTAAAGTGCTGGATCCAGTTAGCCAAATGAAACATGTTTGATTAGACACACAAGGCGTTTAGCAGAAGGACTCGGCAGGCAGAGTGCTCAGGTCAGATGCTACACAGTCTGCACACGCAATCACCATGTGATCTGTGCTTCTAGATGCTACACACAGTCTGCACACGCAGTCACTGCTAGTCACCATGTGATCTGTGCTTCTAGATGCTACCTGCAGTCTGCACACGCAGTCACCGCTTGTCACCATGTGATCTGTGCTTCTAGATGCTACAGTCTGCTCACACAGTCACTGCTAGTCACCATGTGACCTGTGCTCCTATTTGTTCCCCTCTTGCAGCTTCGCGCGCTTTCTCAGCAAGAGCTGCACAGTGCTTCCTCACACACACATCCATTGCTATTCACAGGAGAGCAGTTTTAACTCTGAAATGGAACAGTTTTAACTGTTTCTATTTCATACCCTTTTCTAATCTTCAACCTTATTTCTTCCCCAATGTTAATATAAAATCTTTCACTTTGAAATGTTTCAAATACCTGTTTAATTTTATGCTATGTGTATTCGCCAGGGCACATGCATGTGCATCACATGTAAGCAGCAGCCCACAGAGGACAGAGGAGGTGTCAGATGCTCAGGAATGGCAATTAGACAGTTGTGAGCCACCATGTGGGTGTTAGGAACCAAACTCAGATCCTCTGCAGGAGCAGTACCTGCTCTTGACCACTGAGCCATCTCACCGTGTAATATCTGATCTACCATTTAACACATAGGAATTCATAGTGTATCTGCTTCAACAGTAGGCAGGCATTCTGAACTGTGCTGGGGCACAATTAGTAGCTTAGAAAGGTCTTTTTTTTTCCCTACTTTGTGATAATTACAAGAATATCAAATTTCAAATTTGAATTTAAAAATAGGTGTTATATTATATTTGTAAATTAGCAAGAATAAAAGTCTTGATTTTGTTATTTATTGAGAAAATAAACACCCAGATATTTAAGAGTAAATAGTATTAAGACCTAAAGCATCATTTTACGTTCATTAATTTTTTTCCTAGCAGTGTATCATTCGCAATGAGATTGAAGAAACTGCACCATTACGGAAACCGTCACAACTCCTGCTGTCCAGTCACTTAAAATACCATAAGTACAGGATGAGGACCACCATTCTAGAAGAAATCTGTATATGCTTTTTAAAAATCCTTTGGCATATACAAATCTGGACCTGAGAAGAAGACACATAGAAGGCTATCTTATTTTAAAATGATAAGAGATTTACAAAGCTAGGTGACTTTGTAATGACACAGGTCATTTAGAGGTAATGGACAGCCTCAGACAAACATTTACCATTAGGTTGAGGTATACGCCATTATCCCTCTCCACTTTAAAGCACTTTCTAGAAAATTGCATTGATTTATTTTAGTGTATATGAGCATGTATGTGTGTATACATATGTGTATAAGCATGTATGCTACAGCACATGTGTGGAGGTCAGGGGACAACTTGTGAGAGTCGGTTCTCTCACCACATGAGAGTTGGCAATGGAACTCAGATTGTTAGGCTTGGAGAAAAGTACCTTTACCGGCTGAGCCATCTCACCAGCCCCTCCTTTATTTAAAAAACATTTTCATTATAGTCATTTGAACCAGGGCGAAGGCAATAACTCATATTTCACGCAAACAAGAAACTAGGGTCAGCTTAACAATGAGCAGAGAAATGTACACATCATGTTAATCACAATATGTGTAACATCCAGGAGGAAGAACAGCAGCCTTTTCTAATTTTTATTGCACTGAACTCACGAGGAAAAGACTCAGCACCTTACGAGTGATGAATGACACAGCCCATGATTTTTCAAGCTTCTCTTCCTAATAGGATGAACAATTTAAATGCAATTTTGAACAGAACAGAAACTTTTAGCATAGACAAAACTTTTAGGTTACTTTAATTAGAAAAAAGAGTCAATTTCCCTATCTAATTCTGTTCTTAAAATATACTTTATTCATAGGATTTATATATAGTAACTAAATGTTAAATTGACAAAATATATAAAATAAAGGACCAAAAAAGATATTTGAACATACTATTAATACATAAATGTAGTGTTTAATTGGAGGAGTTTATTGATTATTATTCAACCTGATGTTAATCATTGCTATCTGTTTCCACGGTCCCCATTTTCTAACTTTAAGACAGATAACTCGATCATTGAGCTATTTTAATAAAATAAGCACCCTCTTGTTATTTGATGTAAAGTGAGATGGTGCTAAAGGATATTCACAAGGTGTCCCAAACACCTCTTTTCCTGAGGTGGATTTGATTCTGTGTAACCAGACTTAGTGATCGGCTTTGCGTCTAACAAACAGGACGTAGTAGAAATGATGCTGTGGCTTTTCAGAGTGCGACGTGAGAACCATAGCTCGAATTCTCCTCTTTCACACACACACAAGCACACACTATCTGATCTACTCAAGCAGCCAGTGGAGACATGTGAAAGTGGGGACAGGGCCTTCTCTACTGAAGATTTCCAGCAAAGCTGCTCCTAAAGTTGTGACCCACGGAAACTATTAAGATAATGTCTATTTTAGAGCAAAGAGATAATTCATTACATAATAGTCATTAAGTGAACAATTTGTAAAAAATACAGAAAGACAAAATTTCATGGCTGCTGCTAAGGATAACAATCACAACTTTTAAAACTGTACAAGAAAAGCTGCAAAATTTCCTGTTCTTCAGTGTTAAATGATGTGACAAAGCAAATCCTGGAGAAAAGCTCACCTTGCAAGTGACTGTCCCAACAACTTGCCACGTGTCTGCTGCATCCTGTTTACCATACTGCATGCACTTCACTTTTTCAGTGATAGAAATAGAAATCTGAGGCTTTCCTTTGTATGTTCCAACTTTCCATGCTGGCTGTTTGTGCGGCTGAGTCACAGATGAGAAATTAGCACTATTCAGTAAATTCTGCAAGTTAGTGTCCAACAGAGTACCCAAAGGACAAGCCTGCAGAAGCAGGTCAGGCAACTGACTCAACTTTGTGTTTAGGTCTGTGTCACTTTTCTGACTTGAGGAGTAAAGAAAATCCTGTATCCCGAAAAGCAGTTCCAAGCCTTGTGAGACTCCACTAACACTAACTACAGATGGGCGGGGGGATAGGGCTTGTTCAACCAGTGGAACACTTGCATAAATCATATCGTTCCTCAGAAAAGCAATGACTGGCCAGAGTTCTTCACCGCCTACTGAAAGTCCATAGACGGGTGATTTGTTGGTGTGTGAGCAGCTATCACGCCTCTCCACAAAGTCTTTATCATCACCCGATAATCTCAGTTGGAAGAGTAATGCCTTCAGGAAGGGACCATCTTCGGGTACAGGAACATAACTCACTCCATTGAAGATTTTGGCTCGCTTTTCAACAGTAGGGTATCGTCTGCATCAAGGAAACAGAAACATTACAAATGATTCTTCCATGTACACCAATGGGAGAATTAAAAGGCTTTAAGACAGAAGGCAAATAGTCACAGCTATAAAACATAAACCAATGAATACATAACATGCACTACCGAAGGAAAAAACCCTAAGCCATTGAACCTGCTAATGTCTGACTGGAACAAATGTTTCCTATTTAGGATGTTATCTCAAGTGACAAAATATACCATTTACTGTGGAAAGTGACTGACTCAATTTAATTACTTTTTTAAACAGGTAGAGTACACGTTTCTAATTCAAAACCTTTGTTTTAAAACCACTCAGATTCCCTCTTGGTAGATGTCAACTTGATGGGATTTAGTGTTGCGGAATATTTGATCACACTGTGAAACTCCGACACTGTTAATAAAATCAACTTTGCATCAGGGGTGAAGGCAGCGACTAGTTGACAAGAATTAGCTATAGAGAGCACAGAGGACCCAGGAATATGGATAGAGAGATGCACAGGAAGGAGTAGGTAGGGATTTAGAGAGTTTTGATCTTTGGCTTAAGATGAACGGAAAGATGCTTCTCTTGTTGGGTCTCCAGCTGAAAGGGAAGCTCAGCTGGTTGTTTTTTGGCTTCTCTGATCTAGCAAGTTTTCACACCAACATCTGATTCCCAAGGTTTTACTGGTGTACAGAATAATAAAGACTTAGTCAAAACCTACATTTGCCCTCTGCGGCCGAGATGGTGACCACAGGACTGGAAACCTTGCCAGGCCGCAGTCCGAGGGGAAGGATGTTCTGCGGAGTGGTGGGTGCAGCAGTAGTTAAAATATCAGAAGATTCAGGTGTAGCTGCTAAGCCAAGAGAAAAACAATTTCCCATATGGAAACAGATCTTTGGGTTTGTCTGTGGGACAATGTTCTAGATTAGGCTGGGGTTGGAAGTCCCACCCTGAACACGGGTGACCTCACTCCATGGGCTGGGTCCTGAGCTGAATGAGATGGAGAAGGAGTGGGGCAGTATGAGCCGCTCTCTGATCCTGATGTGCATGCAGTGTGACCAGCTGTCTCCTGCTCCTGGACCACGATGTCTCCAACCTGATGGACTGTACCCTTAAACTTTGAATCAAAATAAATTATTTTCTCTCAAGTATCTATAAGGGGTTTTGTTTTTTAATTCTACTTTAGATTACTCACAAAGAAGTGATTATATTTATGCCTCTAAACTTTTAGATTCATTTATTGAGATGATACTAATTTACATAATAAATAACAGATGCCGTGAATGTTCATAACAACCCTTGTTAAATAGGGGAGATCATTTTGTAATACTGGCTTATCTCTATAGTACTGGAAGATATTTAGAGATAATAAAAAGAGAGAAATCAAATTAATCCTTTACAGTCTATGCGCTCTGGGTAGACTGTAAACTTCTAACCTCTCTGCCCCATCACAAACCAGAAGATGTGCAGGCCCCTTCAGTCTTCTGTGAGACTCCACTAATCACGGCCACACCTCTCTCCAGGGCTAAGGACTGAGTCACTAGGTCCTAAACACTGGTTTTCACTTTCAAAACATATACTTTTCTTTATTCCTTTTCCTTCCACTTTAAGGTCCAGAATAAAGTTGTCTACAACTCCTCATTTTCTGAGTAAATAAGCAAGCCCTCGGTGATGCGCTTTCTGGTTGTCAAGTTGACTATATCCGGAAGTAACTAAAACCCACGTGGCTGGGCACACTTCTGAGGGATTTTTTTCTAAATTAAATCTTTTAAAGTGGGAAGCTCCACCTCTAATCTGGGCCACACCTTCGGCTGGCAGCCTTCATAAAGGTCATGGAAGAAGGGAGCTTACTTGCTTTGCCTGCTTCCCTTCAATCTTGCTGGCAAGTCAATTCTTTCTCTGCACTGGGGACTCCAGTGTACACAGGAGGCCAGCTGAGACATCCAGCTTCACAGACTGAACAACCACTGGACTTTTTGACTTTGCATTGGTAGACAGCCATTGTTGGACTAGCTGGACCAAAGGCTGTCACCCACTTCGGTAAACACACACACACACACACACACACACACACACACACACACACACAAAATGTTCATTCTATCTATTCTGTTCCTCTAGAGAACCTTGACTAATATACTCTCCTAAGGCCATTTTCTTATTTATAAAATAAAAGAGAATGTATTTAGCAAGCATGGAACACTAGGTTCAATCTCCAGCACCAAAAACAAACTAAAACCAAGCAAATGGATAGCAACTACCAAGATTTCCTTTTGTAATTTTCATAACAATATTTTTCTTTAATAAGATACTAATGTTTGATAATAAATAAAATAATGCATTGAAATAATCTATTAATTAGTGGACCTTCACTTAGATTCTTAGGTATTTTTCTGATTGAAAAGGGGAAAAATTAGCTAGTATACCATTAGTGACTTGTCTTACTCCCACAATAAAATAAACTAATCTGGGACCTTATACAATGTCTTAATATGTGTTTAATATTTTGTTAGCTGATTTAATCTATTATTTCAAACTAATCGAGGTTTTGCTTCATGTTGTGGGATCTTTTGTTCATACTCTTAACACTCCCAAGAGTGCCCAATAAAGTTCTACCTTGAATCAGGGGTGGATCCAGTGACTAGTTGACCAGAACTGGTCATAGAGAAGCCAGCAATTTCAACAGAGAAGGCATACAGGAAGGAAAGGGCGGGAACTAGAGTTGGAGCTTTCTCGGTTCTGGGACCAGGGAAGAGACTCTTGCAGTGTGTTTAGTCAAAAATCAAGGTGAGCTAATTGCCACTTAGCCTCTCTGGGCTAGCGGGTTTTCATCCCAGCCTTTGACTCCTGAGTCTTACTGGTAAATAGAACAATAGAGACTTAATTTAAACCTATATATTGCAGCCATGGCAGAGCCGGGGCCAAAGGACCAGAATCCTGGCCAGGCCATGGCCAGAGTGGCTGGCAGGGCATTGACTGAGGGGCTGTGGGATAGCAGATGATAACTGAAATATCAGTAGATTCATGTGCAGCCACTGAGCCGACAGAAGAACATCAGTTTCAAGACAGGATTAAGTGTCCCTATAGAGGGCTGGAGAGATGGCTCAGAGGTTAAGAGCACTGACTGCTCTTCCAGAGGTCCTGAGTTCAAATTCCAGCAACCACATAGTGGCTCACAACCATCTGTAATGAGGTCTGGTGCCCTCTTCTGGCCTGCAGGCATACATGGAGGCTGAGCACTGTGTATATAATAAATAAATCTTTAAAAAAAAAAAGTGTTCCTATTACTATGGGTGTAATATCAATCTGAGGTGCATCCAGACTGTTATATAAGATCGTTCGCCCTCTTGCATCATAAGTGATAGCCACTACTCTTTGGTGTGTATGTGGAGAATATGCAGTGCTGTGACTATTTCCTCTGGGCGGAGGCAGAGTATCTATGATGACACAGTCAGGACCGACAGGAACATCTCAAGGCCTCCTCTTTCCAAGACACCAATCCTACCACACAACAGGTAAACAACTGACTTGGGGGACTGTGGCTGGTGTGTCTTCTGGTGAGTCACCCGTGCTCCCTTAAGTAACCCCAACAAACACACTGGTTTGTCAAGCTCAACTTGAATAGATTCCTTTGGTCTGTTACTGTCTTTTAAATCTAGGGTTATTATATAAATGTTATATAACATTTATAACAAGAATTCTAATTGGTCGAGTCAGCTATCAGGGTAAAAACCAAAGGATCAGAGAAGCAAAGCCGTCAACACTAGAGAATTCTTCTACCAATGTTTGGACCAAAGGGGTGATCCAGTCTATAAGAATCCTAAGACTGCTGCTGTCTCTACAAAACCTCAGACTGCATCCATCTCTATGATCCTCAGACTGCATGCTCAGACTGAACCCTTAGACTGCATCTAAGCTCTTGTCTCCTTCCACCTTACATCCTGCCTCCACCTCCCTAGTGCTGGGATTAAAGATGTGAACTGCCACCAGCTGGCTCTGCTTCTCTTTTAAACTGGATCAATTTCATATAACCCAGGGTGGCCTTGAACTCACAGAGTTCTGTCGGCCTCTGTCTCCCGAGTGCTGGGATTAAAGGTGTGTGCCACCACTGCCTGGCCTCTACTAGTGGCTTGCTCTGTACTGCGATCTTCAGGCAAGCTTTATGTGGTAGATTATAAAATATTACTACATACATTTCTTTATATCTTCCCAAGACAGGCTAAGGAACATATGTTAATTCATATCTATTGGCCTTAAGACCAGCTTCAAATGGTCAGAAATCTGAAAATGCAGAACTTTATAAAACTAGCAATTTATTCAATACAGAATTAAAGCAACACATAGATGAATCAATCATGTGACACCCCCCCCTCACTTGCTAACTCCACAGAGATGTAGTGAAACTCACCTAAATGTGTCTGAATGTATCGTCTAAAGTACGTTAATATGCACAACTGGGAAAGCATTCCCAAAACTAACTTGACTTTCATTTCCCAATTCTGTGTATATATATGTGGTACGGGAGAATTGTTTGTATTCTGTCAATCATGTTTTAAATAAATGCTGATTAGCCAGGCAGGAAGTATAGGCGGGTCAACCAGAGAGGAAGTAGAGGCAGGGCCATGAGAACAGGAGTATTCTGGGAAGAAGGAAGCTCTTCCCCCATTCCTGCCCAGACAACTGAAGAAGCAGGATGTGACCTGCCCCGCTGAAAAAGATACTGAGCCATGTGGCCAACACAGATAAGAATAATGAGTTAATATAAGCTACAAGAGTTAATAAGAAGCCTGAGCTAATGTGTCAATCATTTATAATTAATGCAGACTCTGTGTGATTTTCTTTGGGGGCTTACCGGCTGTGGAAACTGGGCAGGACAGAAACCCCAACCAACAAGCCTGGCCCTTATGTTACATATGTGGAGTGGTGGGAGTGGGTATGTGCATTTGAATGCAGATGGCTTTGGCGTCCAGAAGATGCTGGATCCATTTGGGGCTAGAGTTAGTGGTGACTGGTGAGCTGCCCCAGGTGGGTTCTGGGAAATAAACTCTGGTCCTCTGAAAGAGCAAGTAAATGTTCTTAATTATCAAGCATCTCTTCAGCTCTGCATGAATTCTTCAAATGGGCTTACTTTTTCAATTAACTAAGGTCTCACTTCAATTACAATGCATAAAATCAGAACATTGGCACAAAAAGACAAAGTAATAGAACAGAGATAGATCAGTGTTTATATAAAGGTATATAGCAAACATCAATAGTGAGCCAAGGTATATAGGCTTACATGACAATGTCAGGAAAACTGTCAAATAGCATAAAGAAAAGGTGAATTTCCCATTTACCACCATATGCAAAGCTGAGCTTCAAATAGACTAAAGGCTTAAATGTAACAGACAAAATTATACAGAATGGATAAATTGGTATCTTTGGAAAGTAAAGGTAATTCACAGAAAAGGAAACCCAAGAGATGAGCAAATATTGTTAGAGAAAGATATACAAATAGAAATTAGATTACCTTTGTTGGTAAAAGTTAGAGGAAGAGTCATAAAAGTACAGAAATCCACTAATTTCTAATGATCGTGTTAGCATTTGGGAAGCTGCTTGTCAGTATTTTGTCAAAATCATTATAAACATGTTGTAAAGCCATTTGAAGATGTCTCCTCAAATGTAGCTCCATTCTGAATGAGAGAGGCAACTTGAATCTGTCACTAAGGAATCTGAATGAAGGAAATGATAACTTCCTACAGATCAAGTAACCAGAGCTGCCGTGTCCAATATGGTAGGCGCTAGGTACATGTGCTATTTAAACTAGGTACATGTGCTACTTAAACTTAAGCAAAAGTAACAGCTGAGGTGGGGCATGGTGGTTGCATGAATTTAATCTCAGCACCCAGGAAGCAGAGGCAGGAGGATATCTATGAGTTTGTGGCTAGTCTGGTCTACATAGTGAGTTTTAGGTCAGCCAGTGCTACGCAGTGCCGGTCTCAAAACAACAAAGACCTAATAATGAGTTCCTCAGTCACAGCACCTACAAGTGCTTACTGTTACTGGTTTGTAACATTAGCATAGACTTAGAACCCATTCCCTTTCTGTCATGCAGGAAGTTCAAGTGTAGGTGCTTCTTTCCAAGAACGCAAAGCTACTCAATAGTCAGAGGCTTCTCAGACATACTGCCAAGAACAGGAAAGAACCTCAAGAGTGACATGAAATTAAAATGTCTCTGCAAAACAAATAAAACTACAAGCAAAGTGGAGAGACAGACAGCCTACAGATTGGGAAAAAAAAACTTGGCCAGCTATACTTTATAAAGCAGTTAATATATTGTATAAAGAACTGCAGAAACCACACACACACACACACACTGCCCCAAATTTCCAATCAATAAATGGAGACATGAACTCAATAATAAATTCTGAAAAGAAACAAAAATAACTAAAAAAATATTTTTAGAAGAGTACATGTCCACCTTCTGTATTTTAAGCTACTGTATAGTCCTCTCCGTAGAATTATTTTGGTAAGAAATGGCAAAATCTTAAAATGGGATCAGGTCATTTATGTCACCTAGGGAAAAATGATGGTAATTTAGGTTTTCATTGTTCCTTCTATGTTGTTCAGCCACTAAAAACTGCAAACAATAATGACTTCTAGCAATCACGTACACTGATAAGATGAAAACGACAGTCTGTTGCTCCACAAGGGGTTTTTGGAAGAATGCATTAAAACACTCTAAAATAAATTTTGCCACTGAAAGTTGAAAACCTAAAGCAGGTTTAGTGCTCAGTAAGTTTTTTTCTTTCATTATATCTGTACCAATCTTAAACAGATGGAATTCATTTTAAGATACAATAATACAGCCGGGTATGGTGGTCCACACCTTTAATCCCAGCACCCCAGAGGCAGAGACAGACAGATGTCTGTCGAAGTCAGTCTGGTCTACATGGCGAGTTCCAGGATAGCTGGGGTATTTTTACTTCACAACAACAACAAAGATAGCAACGTGTCAAGCAACTCATTTTTCACAATGACAGAAGGTACAGGATACAAAAGTTCACCCGTCCAGCGGCGCTCAGCGAGCTGTTCCGGGCAGATCTGGAATTCAGTGCACACAAGAAAACTGCTGCTACACGATCCGTTCTGGGCCCCATCACGTCTGACGATGCAGACTCGCAATTACCTGGAGAACCTGACGGTGCCACCGAGTGGAGTTCCCGGCTCGTGACGGACGAGCCACACTGCCCGCAGGGCCATGGTGAGCCGCCGCAGTATCAGACCGTCACAGAAACTAAAGCCGCCATCCTGCCAGAGCAGACCGGCCTTGGGATGGACTCCGCTGGGGAACGTCGGCGTTCCCCGCGCGCCGCAAGCGTTCACGTGAGACGCTCGCTCTTTCCAGTGCGGTGACTCAAGCCCGCCCGTCCCTCCAGGAAGTCAACACACACCTCGGAAAGTCCAGGAACCCGCACCGGAATCTCGACGGACTTCCCACTTCCGGGACGGCGGCCCGCGAGGCTCAAGGCGCGTCGCCCGCTCGCAGACCAGCGCCTCGGCGCCCCCCCCCCTCCCCGCCAAGTCGGTCGGGCGCGCGCAGCGCCACTTCCGGCGTGCGAGGCGGTGACAATGGGAGCGGCGCGGGCGGCGCCGGGAGGCAGCTGACAGGCGTCTGCGGCTTCGCTTCATGGCCGCTCTCCCGCGCAGCCTGCGCTGTGTGAGGACCCGGGCGGCCCGCGGCCGTCCGCAGCCGGGGCCGGAGGCGGGAGGCCGAGCTGGGACGTGCGAGCCGCGCCGCTGAGGCGTAGCATGTGAAGCGGAGACGGCCTCGAGCGCGGGGCGAGCCTCTCAGCCGGCCGGCATGGCCACGACGGCCGAGCTCTTCGAGGTGGGTCCCGGGGCTCGGCGGGCGGCGGCGGGGGAGGGGCGGGGACGGACGCCGGGCCTCGCTCGGGTCGCCGGGGCCGAGGTGCTGGCGGCGGGAGCCCAGGCTGGGCGAGCCGGGTCCTCCGCGCGGATCCTCGCGCCGAGCGGGGCACCGGGGGCCACCGCAGCCGGGGCTCTCGGAGACCTGTCCCCGTGGACGGCCCGGCAGGCTGGAAGTGGCACCGGGAGCCTGCCGGCTTACCGTACAGGCTGAAAGCCTGGAGGATGTTTTAGGACAATAAAGGCCTGATTAGCCTCAGCGGTGGGCTTAGGGCAGCGACACAGCTCATGGCGTTTAATAGCCGTGGAACCACCCCGCTCTACTTAGAGAATCCTTAAGGTGCGAGGTGCTGTGGGCGGTCAGATGTATTTCTTTAGTGTCTGGATACTTCAACTTGAAATTTGGATTTGGTGGTGTTCGTCGTTAAGAAGCTGTGGTGTTTGAGATAATGGAATGGGTGACAAAACAATGCAACAATGTTTCCTTATGTAAAAAAAAAAGAAGTAGAGATAAGAGGAAAAATGAAGGCTCTGCCGGGCTTCCTTCCTATCAACAGAAGTGTAGTTGTAAAGCACACTGCGGTTCCAGTAAGAATATCACCACGGGTGAAAATCGGGTCCTCTCGGTTTGAGCGTCAGCGTGGATTGTGGCTTGAAGTTTAAATGCCGTGGTTTCCATAACAAACTCAACTTTTTTCACTGTTACTTTTTTGTTACCGCACCTTGGCTTGCAGTTTTGCCTAGCACAGACATCGCATTTGTTCACTGAAATAGCATGCTTAAATTGTAAGTTATAACGAAAGTGATTTGAGTGGAGGGTTATAATTAAACTTAAGAAGAATTATTGCATTTTCTTAGGTGTAGTATCTGGAGATGCACAATATTAGCGTCTCTAATCATAAAATTCTGCCATCTGTTTATTTACACTGGGCCAAGGAAACCGTCTTAGTCCTCTGAACTTTTACTGTGTATCCTTGATCAAAATACTAGGTAATTCTGTAGTTCCTTGTTTCAATTTTTACATCTGTACAGGCTTTGAGATATTTAAATAATGGGTTTCACTAGTCACTAATTAACAGAAAACCATCCCATTACCCTACTGCTACAGTGAGTTCTCTTTGATGCTAACAGTTTTGTCTTGGATCATGCTCTATTTCCTTTAAATGTGTGATCAGATGAGTCCAGTAACTTACTTGAAAAAGTGTTCTCTTTCCCAGGGATGTAGAAAAGGGGGTGAAGAAATGTGTGTTTGTTCTCTAGGTCTTGCCATTTAGTGGAGAGTTGTTAAAGTTGTTTAACTTAGAGACCAGTTCTGTAGTAGTTGATTAGGTAGTCACCAGAAGGTTCTTAGGACAGACTTAAGCATATCGATAGGTCTTATAACTGAAGTGACCCCCCCATCATATGTATCTTATTTCATCAAAATTAAAACCATAGTAATAGCTACAATTAAATATTATCAGTTATGTATAATTAAGAAGTCTATTTGTCTTTTCCTGAATTGCTGTGAGTCTAACCCTGTAAGGACTCTGCTCATGAGTAAGTCTTTATTCCCCAAGTGAAAAGTTGACTTCTTTGCTTAGAAAGGGGAGAAAGAAAATGGCCCCCTGTCTTTGCTGCCATTTCTGCAGCTACTGCCGTCACTATAGGTTGCAGATCTCCTAGTCTAAGCCACAGCTGGAGAACTGGGGGAAACAAGGCAGGATGTAGTCAAGGATATTTTGTTTTTATGCATCCTGGTTTTCATGTACTACTAAATAAAATTGTACTTTCATTTTCCACATTAGAAAAATTTAATGGAAACAAAGTAGAGCTTTGAACCCATGAAATTTCATTGTTAACTCGGCTTCTTGTAAAATCTTATTATTGGTTTGGTGACTCATCTTTTTTAACAGACAACTTCTGACAATAAAATCAAACTGTAGGATCTTTCCTCAGTTGACAGAATGATTTATTAATAGATGACTCAGTGGTTGCAATAATGTGCTGGAAGTTTCCCAGAATACCCTGTTAGTTTGATTTCTTGTTGAGAGGTCTTTCTGAAAGAATCCAAATGTGGTGTTTCTGAATAATAAACTCAGGATGGCCTATCTGAACTGGGATTCCTCAGTGCTGTGGGTTAATGATATATTCAGCATATCAAAAAATAGCTTGAATGGTAAATTCCTTTTCTGTTGCTTCAGACATTGCTCTTATACTTCTACTGAAAATACTTTCTTATTCCTTTGGTGAACGTCTCCCCTGTCGTTCTAACATATTCTTCCCATTTCTCTGGGCAGCTTACATTTTATAGGAGAGTTCATTATTAAAAACTAGAGTCAGTTATTCATTCAGGAAATATTTTTGAGTACCCATCAACTTCAAGATAAAGTGCTAAACTTAAGAACACTGCATGTCCTCAGACATGCCACAGAAAATGCATTCGTGCATTGATGCAGCTGACATTCCAGACATTGGGTTTAAAAGATCACAAAGTAAAATTATAGATGGGATAACTGATAAACCCGGTGCTGAGTAAGGGCAGACGCCTCTTTCCTGGATAATTAAAAAAGGTTTCATGTAATATCGCAAGTTAGGTATTGATAGAAGAGTAGAAACTTCAAGCAGGAGGAAGTAATTCTAAGGCAGTGACAGAAGGTAACTCAATAAAAGGGAGACACGTGTGCATGCTTTTGTGTGTGTGTAGGGAGTGGTGGCTTATGGCAAGTCTTGGATGATAGGAGTTTGCGGAAGTTTTGAGACAGCTTTTGTAGATCTTGCTTGAAGTACCTGAGGACTTTTCCCTAGTAGGTTTAAGTGAGTCATAAGACTACAGTTAGTGTGAAGACTGGTTTTCAGTGGGGATTACAGACTGTCGTTGTCATCGACATCTCTTCCTGTCATTTGTTAATTCTTCCAGAATTGTCTGTTGCTGATTCATTAGCCTAGATGTAAAAATCTTAAACTAGTTTAATGGGAACAGAAAAATCAGAGAATTTGGGGAGACATTTTGAAAAACAACAAAAAGAATTTGGTTACTAAGAAGTTAATTCATGTTGTGTGAAGTTGTGAAGGTAGGTGATTAAATATGTTAACCTCTGCAAAGAAAACTGGTAGACCCTTTCAGGGAGAAAAAGATATATTAACTTTAAGTATATATTAAGGAGAGAAAAATGCATTTTTAAGTATGTTAGGCTGGATCTAGTAGTACTGGTCTATAACTCCAGCTACTTTAGACCACTGCAAGAGGATTGCTAGTTCAAGATGAGCTTGGGGCAACTTAGATTCTTATCTCAAAATAAGTCGAAAGACGGCTAAGGACATGCTGAATGCCTGACTAGCAGACAGTACTGTGTGTTGTTTTCAACCTCCATCGTTGCAAAAAGGGAAAAAAAGTATAGATTAAAGCAGGATTTTGTAGTCCATACCTGTAATCCCAACAGTCAGGAGGTGGGCAGGAGAATCAGTTCAAGTAACTTGGCTACAGAGTGAGACCCTGTTTCAAAAAGCCAGAAATAAAACCAAAACAACAAAAAGGGCTTTTTCAAAGTATCCTATGAAGATATCAGAAGGCAATCACTATTAACTGTAAATATATATGAGTAAGTAACTTAGAAGGAAGTCACAAGAAGTTTTAGCACTTTAGAAATGATTATATGAATAATAACTTGGACTTGGATGGATGACATCTATCAACTGTACATCTCATTAGTTGGAGGATTTGAACAGGTTACCTATGTTCTCTGTACTGCAGTTTTCTCATTGTTGAAGCTTATTTTGGAAATTACCTTAAATTTGATAAACTTCTTAGAGAATGACAGCCTCCTTGAATTTAAGTAGATTAGTGAGGCAGGAGGGACCTGGCATGGTAGTGTATATACTTGTGATTATGGTGTTGGTTTGCAGAGCAGGCAGAATGTTGAGTTTGAAGTCAGCTTGGGCTATATGGCAAGTTGCCCCCTCCCCCTGAAAAAAAAAACAAGATTGAGCCTCCATCAGGGAGAAAAGCCTTTCAGATAGTCACACTAGAGAGAGTCATAGCCGACTACAGGGAGAGAGTACAAAAGTGACTGGAAAGTTGTGTTACCCATGGTGTCTGTACCAAGGTCTGTCACCCTAAAGTGTGACTCATGCTCATCCTTTGGGGTCTGTGCTTTGTCATGCATCTGGAATTTTGAAGAAAGGGATTTACCAGGGGTGAGGAAACACACACATGGCAACAGATACCCAGACTAAGGGACTCAGAAAGCCAAAGATTTCCTCAAGATTAAAATGTTTTAAACTCAGTAATTTCAGCTTGATCCAACTGAAAAATTAAAACAAACCTTTGAGCTTTCTTCTTTGTTATCCTCATTCTTGGAACTGAAATAAAATAAGTAAATGAGATGAGATGAAAGAGTTGAGAGGGTGATATTTAAAGACCATTCCTATTTAAAAAATTTTAAATCTAATTTTGTGATTCTGTTAAGTCATGTAAAAGATACCATTAAATTCTGTTACTTTTCCTTTGGAACCTAAAACATGAGCTATTTTTCAGAA